GAACACAACTAGAGGTTGAAATACAGGTTTGCCTATCTCCCTCTGAATTTGAAATTAAAAGTGTATTAATGGTGACCAGCAGATAGTCTTTTTGCTTCAGTGAAGTATTAAAAGAACATCTTTAATGCTGCTGGTAATAGGCATATGCAGGGCAGTCCATCAGAAGTATCTTTTAATTTTTTGTCACATGGTAGTCCTGTGTTCTGTCTTACCCAGTGCAAGGCTGCTTTTTTTTATAGCTGTGGTAAATGCTTTACTGTTTCCTGAAACAGGGAAGTTTCATATTGCAAATACTGTTCTTTTTTTTTTTTTTTTTTTTTTTTAAAGTCAATTCCAGTCAAATTTATGGGATTCTGTTCTGTATACCTCACTTTCAGCCTTTACATCATGTAGAGGGAGAACATGTAAAGCCAGAGATCCTCAACCTCCTCCTAAATTCTATTTTGTCGCCTTGTGGTTATGTTCAGGCTGTATAGCCCTCTAGTAATAGTTACGTATATTCTTAGTTATTCAACAGTTATATGGCAATTCCAGTGTGGCCTTACCTGTGAAAACAACCTGAACTTTCTTCCCATCACTGCTTCTGTTCAGTTTATTCAAGTGCCAGCTCAGCCACCCGTTCCACTGACAAGGTAATTTTTGTAAAAAAAAAAAAAAAAAAAATTGATACTTGATGTTACGTTAAGCAAATGTAATGTGAATAGCTCTGATCAAAGAGCAAGTTTGGCTTGTGGAGTAGAGAGTGAGAAGGCCTCATTCTAGAATGTCTCGAAAAACAATTCTTCTGTTAGGGACAGTCTCTCCCAAGAGTATGGAGTGCATGAAGGCCTGTAAACTACCCTGGAAATTTTTCATGTATTTTTTTTGGCAGAAAAGCTTCTGTGCTGTTTACTTGAGTGGAAACAGGGTGCTGTGTCAGGCTCCCAAACTATCCATTGTCTGAAGATTTGTTCATCACAAAAAGAAACATCTAGCTGAGAATGATAGAAATGAAGCAGAGCGGGGGCTCTTGTTCTCTGTTTCAGAGAAAAAAGTCAGACTAGCCAAGAGGTTGTGGTTTATTATTTTTGTAACCTGACCACCTTTCCACGCTGTTTGTCTTCACTTGTGCTGGTGTTCTGGTGGTAATGTAGTTAATAAATAGCTTCAACTCCCACCCCCCTCCCCCTTTTTTTTTTTCAGATTTCAGATTAATTATACAGAATTTGACTGCAATCGAAATGATGTTTGCTGGCCACAACTTTTTTATCCATTGACACGGTTTTACACAGGTAAAATAATAAACGATATAGAGTACTGACCATATTTCTTTGAAGCATTATTCAATTTCTGGAATTTATTTTGAAAGAATGCTTTTTAATAGGGAATAGAAATTTCTGTTTTAGAATTTGTGATCCAGAAAGTCTGTTTAAAATTTTTTTATGAAAAAATAATTACTAGGAGTGCTTTGTTGATTAGCTTGAAGTTTTTTGAATATCTGTTTGTCAGAGAGAGTCTTACTCCCTTCTAGAGTTTGGGGGGAAGTATGCTTTCTAAAGAAAAGGAGAATATATTGCTTTATGATATTGTTCTGTTTCCATTTCCTACTGTAATTGTAGCATTGTGTCAGTGAATGTCATTGCCCTTGGAGGGTGCAGAGAGACTTTTTCTTACTTACCCAGTATACATTTTTCAGTCAGCCCACATGAATTCCAGTGAAAATTTCCATATTGATATGTCAGTTAACTTTTAAGTTTCCTCTATGTAAAACTGGATGGATCATGTTTCATGGGAGGTTGTATAGATTAAATATCTGTCTTTTTTAAAGAGCATTAAGGCACTTACTCTGTTCTGAGAACAGTATGGATAGAGGCAACTGCCTCTCTCCATGTTTGTTACCTGCATAACTTTGGGGACTAAAGTTCTACAAAGCATAAAGTTTTATATGAAGCATCTTCTTTGTTTGTATTATGTCATTTTATTCAGGCTATGTACATACTTAATTGTTATCAGTATCTTTTGGGCTGTTGTCTAAAATGAAAATCTAGCTTTTATATACTTACCTTTTTTTTTTTCTTTTTTTTTTCCCCCCAGGAGAACCATATTCCCAGTGTCTTGCTAAGGGCCTAGCACTGGCATTTCTCTTCTTACTTGCAGCAATTATGAATAACCCATGGTTTCTTAAAGTATGGAGTAATAGTTTGGTTTAAAAATGTTGATGTAAAGAGGACCACTTTGTTAATATTTTAGTAAGTAATTTTGGGGTAAAATTTGTGGAGGAGTATTCCTGGATTTTATAGACATTTTATATAAACATTTAAAGATATACAAAGTGAATACTCTCGTGTATGTACAGAAAATGTTTTATTATTTAAAATGAAAAGTAACAATTAATTTTAAGTGCTAAACTGCATTTGGAGCAGCCATAATGCAGAGCTGACTTAACAGGGTGAAGTCTGCATGACTTGGCACTTGGGCTGGTCCAGTCTTAGAGGGTAACAACGCCAGGAATACCTAATGAAAGGACCTTTGTCCTGGCGAACTTGTTACCTTTTTCTTGTGTTGAAGATCAAGATGGCAGTTTCCACAGTAAACCTGTCAACTCTTACCTATTTTTGGAAGAGTGAATAGGTTATCCACTCTTCTGAACAGTGATAGTGCTTCAGATGTTTTTATTTATCGATGCATAATTCTCATTTCCAATTAACTGTGCTTTGGCAGCCTGTATCTGTCTGGGCTCTGTAAGATACAAAGATTTACTACTTATTTTCTTTATTGATCAAATATTCTCATGTTCTGCTTTCTTGGGATTTTTTTTGTGGTTCAGATCTCATCCTTATCACCTCAGTAACTTACTTTCTTTTCTAAATCTGTTCAAATGATAGGCTTCCATATGGTCAATGCTGAATCTGTGACTGCCACTGTCCTGTTTTCTGTGCAATTTTTCTGGGGTTACCTTGTGAGGGGAAGGACGCTCCTTTTGAAGGAGCTGTCGACAAGCCCCCCGGGTATGTTGCTCTGGCACGTGGAACTAATCGGCCTTTGGATGCCGTACAACCAGCACGCTCTAGGCCACGTTTCCATCTGCGCGCAAGCCGGGGGCTCGCCGTGCTCAGCCGCAGCGGTGGAGCAGAGCTGCGGCTCCATTGCTCTCGCTGCGGACAGCAGCAGAGCGTGCGTTTGCTCTGCCCCCTGCCTCGCCTGCTGTGGGCCTGCACCCGTCCCAGCTCTCGGCCCCTGTTCACAGCTACCGCCCAGCCGGCGGGTCTCCTGGGCTGAGCCTCGCAGCTGCCTTAGTACCGGGGGGGGGGGGGGAACCCCGGGGGGGGCGTTGTGGCC